CCATCAGCCCCAGGGGGATCTACACACCCTCCTCACCTCCCTCCTTGCGCCCATCCAGGCGCAACTCGCGACCCTCGCGCCCATCCAGGCGCAACTCGCGACCCTCGGGCCCTTACAGGCGTAGGTGGCGACCCTTGCCGCCGGCGTGCAGCAATTCCAGGATACTGGTCGTCCTTCCTCTCCTCATCCTCTCTCTTCTCCTGGCTCTCAGTCCGGGTCCCCAGTTCTCCGACAGGGTGGCCACGGCGGAGTTTCCTCCTTTGCCGCCCCCGACCCGGCCATTTTGGTGACCATCCACGCCCCTAGCTCGACGGCCGCCACGAGTCAGGCCCTTCCTCAGTCTACGGGCGCACCGGCCCAGATTCCGGTTACGACGGCCACGGGACCACAACCTGTTACCATGGTCTCAGCGTTTCCGGGTGCCCCGTTCCTCCCCCCCCTTCGCACGACCGCAGCGCCACCTGGCTCTCCCCCTCTGGGATGCCCCGCGCCGCTTGTGCATCCACTTCCTCCACTCTTCCCCCTGCTACCCCTCGCACGACCTACGTTCGAGGTYTCGARGACGAGATTGYCCRKCTCCGGGYCAACCTCGCCCTCTTACGCCTTCAGCCACCCCCACCCTCACAGGTGGCCGCGCCTTCGGGCGCACCCCCTACCTCCTCTACCCTTCCTCCCATGCAGGCTCGCTTTCCGCGCCCTGCACCCTATACAACTCCTTCCTACCTTCTTCCTACTCTCGCGGTTGCTGCGACCTCTTCTACCGCAACACCCTCGCAGCCTGCCGCTGTTGCCACCGCCGCTCCCCCATGCGGCCCGGGCGCACAGTCAGTTGTGCCCCTTTCTCCAGGACCTGCGTCGACTTACTCAGCCGTGGCACAGACCTCCGCTCCTCGATCCCCTCGCCGCCAAAATGGTGGCGCACCACTCATCCGCTTGTCGGACATTGCCTTGTATGACGGTACAGGCATACGCGTGTCTCGGTGGCTGCAGTCTGCCACCCGCACACTCCAGCTCATGGGCGCCACACCCGAGACGTGGGTGGGTCACCTCTCCACGCGCCTGCGTGGCGGTCCTTTCGAGGCCTGGGAGGATTTCTATGCCTACGCCCTTCGTGAGGTTCGGACTCCGACCTTCGTGGATTTCCAGGCGTTCCTCGAGGATCGCTTCGGAGCCCGATACGACGTGACTGACGCCTTCGAGTGTGTCGTCACTACACGCTGGTCCGGCTCTGATGGCGTTGCCGGCCTGGATCGCCACATTCAGGTCTTTCAGGACGTCCGCCTCGTTTGCGACGTGGCGTTCCTCCCCGAGGCTTCCCTTATCGATCGTTTCTTGGCCAGCCTTCCGCTCGAGTACCGCTCCGAGCTATGGCGGTACGAGTTCACATCGGCCCCACAGGCTTACGAGGCCGCCAGGGACCACCAGCGGATGCGAGCCCGTCTTCACCCCGCCTCCTCCTCCCAGCCCCAGCGCACGGGCTACGCCTCCTCCTCCTCTCACGGCACTTCCCAGCGCCGTTCCCCTTTCCGCGGTCGCCCCCGCCGTTCCACGCAACAGGGCCACCACTTCTCGCGCCGCTTCAGCGCGCTGGAGTATGGTGAGCAGGACGTTGTTGTCCCACTGTCATTTGAGGGCGACCACAGCGACGACCTCGATCTCTGTGAGGCCGTCCACTATCACTTGGAGGACTCTACCCTCCCTGCAGCTGAGCGCCTTCAGCTCGCGCTCTCTGCCCTCTCTCGGGCACGTAGCCCCCCGGTCACGCTGGCGCATCGCACCCCGAGGTCCCTCAGGAGGACCTCCCTCARGGCTTCGTCCCTCCTCGTGGTGTCCTTTCCCCTGAGGAGCGCGCGGCTATTCTGGGCCGGCGTGGGTGTTTGCGCTGCCGCTTGGACGGTCATACCTCCTCGCGGTGCCCTTACACTACCGCCCTCGACCGCCACAACGCTGACCTTTCTCGTCAGCGTCGTGCTCAGTCCCCCCCCGGTGCCTCACGTCCCCGCGGCGCCTCCTAGCCATGGTGCAATGTACACCTGCGCCCTCCTCAGTAGTGGGCTTCCCGACATCTCCGTCGCGGTTCGCCCCTCTCGCTACTGGAGTTGAGGTATCGCAGGACTCGACAGAGTGTACTCATCCCTCTGTCGCAGTACCGTCTGCTCCTCCGCAGACCACCGTCTCCCCTCCTCCCCCGCCGCGACTACCGACGCGTCGAGCCATTCGCTCAGCCCGTTGCAGTGAGCAGCTTGCTACTTGCGAGGACGTTGTGTCCTCTCTTCTGACTTGAGCATGCTCCAGGCTCGTCAGGAGCGACTCACCCTCCATGTCGCTGCACTGCGTCGCCTTCTCGCCATCCTCTCTGACCCTGATCGCACCCTCCCGATCATCCCCGTACGACTTGGGACCTCCACGAGGGTGTACTCAGTGTTGTGGGATTCCGGTTCTCAGGGCGACTTCATTCACCCACGCGTGGTGAAGGAAGCCCGCTTACCCACGACAGGGTCTACGACTCCCATCTCCGTTACCCTAGGGATGACAAGACCCAGCACTTCTTCGATCAGACGGTCACCGACCTCCCCTTCTTCCTCACTCTCGAGCCGACTGAGCGTTCCCCGACGTCTCGTCGCCACCGCTCCTCTGCACATTTCGATGTGATGGAGACGGGGTACGACTTCATTCTCGACACTCCGTGGTCTCGTCGGTTCCGCAACACCGAGGCCGATTGGACGACCAACACTCTCGTTCTCAAAACGAAGTGTGGACAGACGTATCGTGTACTTTTCATAGGTACCACGGCGACACCACGCCCTGATCCTCCTCCCCCGGAGCCTTCAGTGCCCACACCATCTCCCTCTGTCACTGTCACCTCGCCTCGGCAGTTCTCTCACTTCATTCGACAGGACGACGTCACCTTCTTTATGGTGGACGTGACGGATCTCTTACACTATGATCCACCTTGTCCCGACGCCGAGCTCATCCCTCTGGAGTCAGATCCTCCCTCTATCTCCATGACTCTCATCTCTACTTTAGTCCCTCCGCCGTCCGTCGAGTCCACCCTGCCGTCGCGCGCTGACGCTGACGCTGAGGAACTCGCACGATATACGGCTGACATGGAGCCCGCAGTTCGTGACCTCATCCGAGAGTACCACGACGTTTTCCCATTGTCGTTCTCGTACGCCGGCATCCCACCGATGCCTGACGTCGAGCACTCCATTCAGCTCGTGCCTGACTATCGTGTTCACCAGCAGGCACCCTACAGACTCTCGATCCCTGAGGCCACCGAACTCAAGCGTTAGCTTGAGGAGCTCCTGAGACTGGGTTTTATTAAACCTAGCAACTCCGCGTGGGGTGCACCTGTCCTCTTTGCTCGCAAAACGGATAGAACTCTTCGTCTCTGCATCGACTATCGCGGCCTCAACCGCTACACGGTTAAGAACAGCTACCCCATGCCTCGTTCCGATGAGTTGTTCGACTGCCTAGCAGGCAACCGCTTCTTTACGAAGATTGATCTTCGTAGCGGTTACCATCAGATCCGCGTCGCTGCAGCTGACCAGCCGAAGACCGCGTTCCGATCGCGATTCGGCCACTACGAGTTCACGGTGATGTCATTCGGCCTCACCAACGCACCCGCTACCTTCCAGAGGGCGATGAACGACATCTTCAGGGACATCCTGGAGCAGTAC